TGAATCATTTGAAAACAATTGTTTGCCTTCTGACTTGGTTTCTAATTTCAATTTTGTCAGTGGTAGTATTTAATTATTAATGATTATTATACAGCTCGAGAGTAAGGAAAATGCTGAAATAAATAAAATCGATGATAGTTCCGATGCTGGAGAAAATGTGGTCTTTTTTTGTAGCTCTTGTTCATTCATTTAAATAATCAGCACACATTGAAAAAACAACAAACAATTGTTTTCCTTCTAATTCAGATAAAACGTATTATTGACAGTTGTGGTCTGTCCGGTTACTTTAACAACACAATCTCATTTGACGATGTATGGAGCAAGGCTGGGGAAATGGACAAGCAACTTTTGCACGATCTTGCCCCAAAAGACGCAGATCGTGTCAGTCTGTACGCATTCAAAGAAGTCCTATTCGGAAAACGTGCGGACGAGATACGGGAACAGGTGGATCGGGAATTCACTAGTATGTGCTGCTGAGATTTGGTGCCAGGCCAGGCCTGGCCAGGTCGAACCGGACAGTCTGTTCGAGTTCTGCGTCCCGTATTCAACCACCCGCGCCCCACCCCCTTCACCTGGGACAAGACAGTTTCGGAATTTTAATCACGTAATCCGTGTCATGCTCTCTTTATCTCACTCACTCACTCACTCACTCACTCACTTCTCTTCGATCTATGTTTCAATCAGGTAAAATCAGTTAAAATCAGTTAAATCAACTCGATCTCATTCATTTCACAAATCTGTGATAAATTTAGACAAAGACTGGGCCAATAGCCTTTCTCTTCCCTTTCTTCTCTCGTTATCTCATCGGCTTGCTCTTCCGCTCCCAACCGTGGACAATTTCCAGTCTGAATTGTATAATTATAATGGGGCATAAAAACAATATCCCTGTCTGTTTTTTTGTTGTCAGAAACTATCACAACGAGAACAAAAAAAACCCAACAAAGTCACATTCCCATTAGCCTTGCCATTCCTGCATTGTTTAATGCTTAGGCAAATAATCTTCTGATCCGTTGAGGATCTGCAGACGTGCATAGACACACACACACACACACGTATATACATACATTTCTCGGTTCTATCAGGACGCGAGAGAGGAAAATCAAAATAGACATTGCTTACTTTTGTTGTCTAGTGTTTATATCTGGAATTGATTGATTTTGAGGGAACAATAATGTGGGCCGAATGAAGTAGTAACTTTTAAAATTCAATCAAAGTTGTGCAGAATGATGTACCATTGATTGGTAATTCACAAGTTATTAAATTTTGTAATGCATATTTCTTTCCATAACTCACCACTGTGTACTGGGTCTCTGTTTCGTTTTTGTTTGGACCGTTCAGTAGTAGGCATGTTTTACGTGTCTCCCAGGTCCGGAACAATTACACGGTCGAGGCCATAAGCGAAAAGCCAATGTAATTTTATTCGCTCAGTTTTCACAAACAATCGGTACTGCCTAATGGTGTTTGTATGTTTGATATTGTGCGCCTCCGTCCATGAAAATGCACTCATTCACTGTAGACGAAACCCAATTATGTAATAACCGACAGAGACGTGAATAACAGTTCTCTTCCTGTTGAAACTCTTCCGGAACGCATACAAGTTCTAGATCTGTGTCAGGATTTCAACTGTAAAGTTCCAGATTTCGTAGTGGATCTAAATTCGCCTATGAGTCACTCGGTCGGCATTCGACACTATAAACAAGTGATTATATTAAGTGAATATGCTAGATTTTTTGTTCAGGCTTAATCACCGATATTGGAGTATTGTTTATTATCCTTCTATTTCCCTTCCGGTCTGTTTTATCAAAAAGCAAACAGATATTGATCTATTTATACTAAAGCTGAAGAATTACGTTCACTTTATTCGGATACATATCAAATGAAGAAAGAAATTTCCTAATCAATGAGAATAATCTATTATCTTTTCGCATTCAAATCACAGTAACTTGTGCGTAGTGATGTGGGATAATTGATATTGATTGATTCATTGATTCGTTGCTGTCGGGTCATATGAACTGACTGACTACCACTGAAGACGAGGCCTGAACAAACATGAACTGGCAATTCGGTTCAGCCCCGGGAATGAGCTGGTTGGCACATCTTTCATGCGATGGGTCTAGAGTTCAAATCCTGGACGGGACGGTGGATATGCACTACTGGTGAGCTCTAATAAGAGCGAAACTCGACTTTAGTTCTTCCGAATGTATGGTTGGATCAATGAACTGAGGATTGTGCGCGAAGTTGAAGCTCGAAGGTTAGCCAGTTCAAATCAATCACTATACAAATGTACCGTCAACTTTCAGAGAGAAGGCCGTGGCCATACAAAGACTGGGAAAGTACAGAGATGAGAAAGATGGACAGCGGCGGAGCGGTTCCAATCCGGGACTCCCAGATCACCACTTGGCCATCATCGAGGACCAAAAATGAGTAATATTTATCCTCATGTTTTGACAGACATAGGGTGATTGATTTTATTTTGTGCCATGTAAATGATTTATAACCATAAGGTGTGTGTGTTTCAGGGGTGGAGAGCGGGATACTACGAATAGGAATCAATAGGTTCTTGGTTTTGAAGAGAGAAATACAGGAAGTGGATGAGATTATCGTACGGTAAAATGCGGTCTACAATTTGAGTTCTGTAAAAAAAGTGAAGACACACCGGAGAATGAATCCCGATCGGGGTGAGAGGCCGCCTGAGATTGAAAAAGGACGGGGAAGCGGAACCAGCAAAGCGAGTTCCGAAGACTGGAAACTGAAATAGTATAGGTAGTAGAGCGAGACAATACAACAACTGTGATGG